GGGGGGGGGGGGGGTTATTAGGTTACACAAGGTCTACGGTAAGGAAATTGATAGGAACAGAGTGCGATCATGCCTCTAGGTGTTGAGAGGATTCGGATGGAATTAAGTGACAGATAACAAGCAATGTCCCCTGTGGCGAGGTAGTGATCATATGATTTTGTGTATGAAACATGTCTGGTATTAACCTCTATACTATCTAGCGTAGTCTTTATGTAGTCTCCTAACAATATTACTGTCTACCCGAGGAATCCCTCCCAAATTTCATATCTGTAAGCTCGCATTTGTACTGAAAATCTTTAAAGATAGAAAAAAGTCTCGGATGATTATACTGAACCTGGGCTGCCAAAGCCTGAATGACTGGTGACTTTACCTTATTGTTCTGGCTTTGAAGGGTTTAAGCTTTATAGATAAACGTTCAGAGAACATCACAGGAGGGAGTACTTACACGATAGTTTCAGCAATATCAGAGAAGCTATAGAGGGAAATGAGATAGGAACTTGCTAGCTCTAAGTAGCGCTCAGCTCGACGTTTATATGCCGATATGCGATGCCTTGGTATCTGTATACCGGTTTTCGCTATTATAGCCTTAAGACATACGTTTATAGCGACACTAGCTTTACCACGCCCTATTGATTGTTGTCATTCACTAGGGATGGAGCTTCCTCCAACGCTTGGATGATTCGTAAAAATCTGAGATGTGCAAGTCGAAGGCACCAGCGGGGGCTTTCTTTCCCTAAGTAGTGTATAGTATTAAATCCTACAATTATATCATTATTATTAAAATTGTAGCTGCTTAAAGCCGGACCACCCATGACTAGCTTCCATCAGTATATATAATTTGCTAGTTTTCGTCAAGAAAGGAAGCTGCATCGTTTCTTATCAAATGGTTCGCAGCAGTTAGTATTTCTCCATGGTTCAGGGGCCTTTTCATTTTCTGAACCGGGGGGATGGAGCTATGTTTTCTGCTTTTATTACACTGTTAGATATCTTCTGTAGCACTATCTTTGAAGTTTTTGACTGATGTACCAGACTCGTATTCTTTGGTGGGAGAGAGCCTCCTTGCAATACGGCTTCGTGTTGTAATACGACCGAGGCTGTGTCATCTGTCTGGTCTGTCGCTTTGTTAAAGAGTATGTCTGGAGTGGCAGATGGTATCTCCCCAATATAGGCAGGAGGATAAAGCTTCGGAATTGTAGTCTGGGAGCATCGCTTCTTCCTCAAATACTTTGTCGAAGTTGGGGACGCTATTATATTCTTGAAGGTCTGCAGCATCGTCGACGAGATTCATAGGAATATCGAACAAGATAATTGTATCAGCAGATATGCCCCCACGGCTTGATATCATCGATGTATCTTCGTCTCAAAACTCTTCTTCTGCGGTTAGTCGCTCGTTGCATAAGCTTGACTCGGTAATGGTCCTCCGTATCCACCAAGCCCTGGCGGTGCTCTGTGTATATCCTACCTGGCGACATCTTCCCTCGGATGAGACTTTTCCTCGCTTTTGTATATACCTGTCAGCGTTATAGAAAAGAGGGAATAATATGGTCATTACAGGCGAATAACAGTTCATCTTCAAGTTTTCTAGAAGCTGAATGGTCTAGTGTCTGCTTCTGGAGAAGTTCGAGGTCAGCTGCGTTCTCTTGTACATGATCAGCTTAATAAGCAGGTAATATTCAAGGAATTAGACTATCAACCCTGTAGCTAGATGTATATAAATTGCCGCTCGATACTACACAAGTAAAGATTCAAGGCCATCACAGTCCTATTATAAGTGCTTCCTTCGTGGCGGACGACGAGCTCCCACGCCCATGTAGTGTCCGTTGGGAACTCTCAAAGAAACAGTTCAGCTGTCTTTGAGTGCCAGGAGGAGCTCAGCAACACGATTACCCGCCTATCAATAACGTGTCAACGCGTTGAAAACCAAGTTCCGAATCTCACAAAACACCAAACATTACAGCCACAGTATTCGAAAGGGAGTAGTGCCCCCCTTCACAATGCGCCTACAATAGAAGTGGATCTGGTCACTCCATTTTCTTGCCCGACAATGATTCACGGTATCGGAGGGGAGAAGTACACGATTGAGAAGCGGGATTGTTAGGAAGGATACGGTCAAGACAACAACAACAACAACAACACCACCACAAACAGCCCAGAACACACCTTCAAGAACACACCTTTAGCTCGTCACAGGTTCAAGCTCGGCTGGGCGTTATCCATAACGAGAGATTAATGTGCCCTTTCAGATGAATTCCCTTTCACGTCCTGCGCCTCCCGCCCCAAATACCCCACAAAATAGCACTCATAAGAATACTATGATCGGCTATAGCACACCACTGAACCAGTCATCTTGTAACAACTCCCTCGCAGTTGGACGATCCCTCGGGTCCAACTTCATAACCTTCAATAAAAAGGTCCTGTCCTCCTCTGTCAAACAGTCATCCTCGATTATTTTAAACGGCCTTTGCTTCTGGTTGTCCTTGATATATTGGGTAGCTGAGGCTAGTACTCCCCATCTGTAACCATCCTCTCTTGGAATAAGATCCATGTAAGACTTGGGAACAGGACCAAAAATAGCTAGTGTTTTATGATAATATGGATCAGATACTCTTCATCGTCAGCTGTGGCGTCTTTAGGGTCGGGCTTAAACATATGCCAGTTGAGACCCCAAATAAGACTTATAAGCTATAATAACGTTAGCGCAATTCAGACAATGCAGTCCAAGCCTGCTTAGTATCACCTACCGTCGCGCCAAATGACCAATTATCAGTCGACTGTCCCCATCTAAGCTGTACCATAGCCTCAGGGCTTCTAAAGATAGCAGCTCCCATATGCGGTCCATCCATCCCAACCTTTAGGTAATCCTTAGGATCTATCCGAAAGATATCACCGAAATCAGCCAGTTGGACATCGGAAAAGCGAGATGATCCAGTGCCATAATTGACGAGAATATTATCCGGTTTAATGTCTATGAGTGTATGTATTAGTTATAGTGTTAAGATCTGATATAAGGTAGCATACCAGTATGTGTGTACCCATCATCATGCAAAGCCTGAATTGCTTGGAGTACTCTTTTTGCCAAAAACTTCACATCTGACCTTTCTAAGGTCTTTACGTTTGATGCATGTAGTAGATTGTCGTCTAAGTATTGCAGAATCAAAGATGGAGGGTTTTGGTCTCATCTAGCACCTGGCGGATGTATAGGCAATTCCGGAAATTCTTCAGAATATCACGCTCGTTTTCGAGGCGTCCCTGTGGGGCTGTCTTAATAATAACTTTTCCAGCTTGAGAGTTGCTTTTCCTGCAGTAATTAGATAGGTGAAGGTTAAGTTAAGTGAAGCTGATCTTACGTGGCAGTCCAAGTATCTCTCGCGACCTGCGCAGAGACAAAATAACTTCCGACTTTTCCTTCCAGCCGTTGGCCAATTTTGATACTAGCAGCCATGATTGAGCATTCTCGTCTGCGTTGGAAGGAATAGTCAAAAGTTTGGACGTTGACAGACAACAGAAAAATGATGGAAGAAGGGACAATGGTTGAGGATAAGAGCGAGGGCGTGATGAAGGACTCCTAGATTTAATCTTATCCGCTCCGCTGCGGCTCAGCTTTGCGTTCATCACGTGGCGTCGCCAAACACCAACTCTAACAATTGGGCCGAAGATTCCCAAGATGCTACATATAATCTCTATTGGATTACTTCTATAGCGCGTGACGATGAATGTCCGCCTGATAATTGTTCTATTTTCCCGGACAGCGGCAGTGTTATTGTCTTATGGAATGAAGATGCGTGCCACCTCTAGGCATTATTCTCGCCAGACCGGTGCAGCCTTGTCAAAAAAGTGCCTTTTGCACAGCCCCAGCTGGCTGGTTACAGCATATTTCTTCCCACCATTTCCTTTTAAGCTTGATATCCTAGCGAATTGGAGGTAGGTCCTGGCTGCGAGTCTCGCCACCTGTTTGATACGTCCTATTCTATTTGCTATATAATGTTTGGCTGAATTCGGTTAGTACTTGTCCTCTTCACCGAGATGGTGCCAGAGATCGAGGGGCTGTGGTTCATCGAAGTTCACATGAGGCAATTTTGTGCCTCTATTCGTTGATAGTTTGGAGGCGTTTCCATTCACTGCCAGCCTGGCTGTATTTGCCTGTCATGTAAATATCGAAGCACCTCCAAGGAGCGAGCAATCTTTTGACATCCCATTTTATTAATATATCTTCGAATACATCGTCTTATTGAACTATATACAATTTCGAAAACATGGCAATGGTCGCTAATATGCCAGGACCTTGGCCCAGAGACTCGTTTGAGACAGTCGATGAGCTCTATCTTCCAGTATCACCTGCATCATCCTCAACAGAAGCTTTCCCACAATTTCATCTAGCAGACGTGAATCAAGCATCTTCAAGCAGCTGCGATGAATTGTTCTTCTCAGTGGAGCAAAACCACGAAGCAGTTTCTCCGTCGTACTTGGTCTTCGAACCGGTGGTCTCCAGTGTGATCGACAACAAGCCGATAGACTGGAGGAGATATGACCCTCCTGGAGAACTATTGAAATTTCAAGATGATACTTCGGAAGACATCAAGAACCTTCTTAAGCCCTCAATAGAGATTATTCAAGCAAGACATGCCGAAGAAATAGAAGGCCATGTGGCAGCGGCTCGACAGGATAGACCACTGACTCGAGGGAGAAAGGTCTCTATCAAACCTCAAAGAATTGTAAGACATTATATTTTGGTTGTTACTCAAGCTAAACACTGACAACAAGGTAGATATCGGGCGGAGCTTCACACCTTTCCCCTTCCTCACATAGTGCTCGTTTGAGCGACTCCAGTAGTCTGTCTATAACCTCATTTGACTCTGGATATGCCTCGAGATCCTCAGAAATCGATTCTACCAGCAGCTCCAAAGCGGGGCCGAGATCATCTTTTGGACTGAATTCTATTTTTAAATTGAGACGAAGAGATAGGGCCAAAATTGAGCTCGGCGAAATCAGCATGTTTACAGCCCAACCAACCAGAGCGTCTCTGGAAATTCCGGTGGCAGTCGACGAAACTTCGGCTGAATCGTCAAGAACAGAGTAAGGGCGACTCGATGATATATTTCCTGTCCAGGCTGACTTATGTAGGGAATGCGTCTCGTGTCTTGAGGATTTTGCGAAACCTGAAATGATCAAACTAAGCTGTCATAGCTACTGCATGGAATGTTTCCAGCGACTTATAAGGTTAGGCTGCCCATCAACGACACGAAGATTGATCTAAATCCCTATAGTACGGCCCTAGAATCAGAGACGCACTGGCCTGCAAAATGCTGCCTCAATACAATACCATCTTCGAGCATTCTTCCCCATCTCAGCATTCTTCCCCATCTCGACCGGCCAACCAAGAAGAAATTCAGGGAACGTGAAGCAGAATGGTCTATTCCTGCGGGAGATCGGATATACTGTGCTCAGCCTTCATGCAGTACGTGGATTCCGGCCAAATACGTAAACGCTGCGCTTCATTCAGCGAAATGCCCAAAGTGCGCTCAGAAAGCATGCACAATCTGCCGAGGGGAGTTCCACAACGGAAACGACTGTCCTCAAGACCCAAATCTGCAAGCCACGATTGACTTGGCAGAGATGGAGGGCTGGAAAAGATGCTATAGCTGCCAGGCACTCGTTGAGCACAACAACGGATGCCGGCATATGACATGTCGCTGCAAGGCTCAATTCTGTTACATTTGTGGCTTGAAGTGGCGAACATGCGGATGCACCGATACCCAATTATCAGAGATCCAGCATCTGGCAACCGCGCGCCGTAACGAGCAGACTGCTAGAGAAGCGCGTGCAGTAGCAGACGCGGAAGAAGAGCGCATCGTTCTGCAGATGGTTGCCGATTATCAACGTGTTGAAGCGGAGCGTGAGGCTCAGGAAGCAGAAACGCGGGAAAGAATAGAAGAAGAGGAACGTATCGAAGCTATTAACCTTCGATTCCACCAGCTTACGAACGAGCTCGAATTACTGCACGATGTGCAACGTGTTCTCATAGCCGAAAGATACGAATTCGAAGACGAGGAAATGAAGAAGGAACGCCAGGATACCTTAGCTACGTTTTCGATTCGCCATCCGCATGAAGTGCAAGTCTTGGATATGGAATCAAAGGCCATCATAGCAGAAGAAGAACATAAATTCAAGACCCAATACCAAACCCGCCTAGCAGAAGAACGGCGCATTGAAAAAGACTATGCTGCACAACTGCGAGCATACTGGAAAGACAAGCCAGAAGCAGAGTATCACGTACAGGAAGCGAGAGATGAATTGCGGAGAGACCAGAATAAAGAGTACAGGTTCTGGGATGCGTACAGAAGGACACAGCTCCAGGCGGTTTCTGAGAGAGAGAAGAGGAGGATGGAGGCTCTGCTTGTGAAGCAGAGGAGTGAGGTCAAGGCTGTTAGTGGAAGATGGGAGATTGATGAAGTGGAGTGGAAGCGCAAGAAATGGGCTGAGGGTCTGTGGGTAGAAAAGGTGGCGTGGGAACGGGGGACGATGCTACAGGTACGGGAGCAAGAACAATATGCCCGCTCGGAGTAGAGGTTATATTCGGGTTGATAAGATCTAGTAGCTTTATGATATTAACGTTTTAATACCGTACTGTCTTAATATAGAGGAATCTTTTTACACGGTCTTGCTTGAAGCTATTCGCACTAGGCATTTAGATCTTTTAGAATATATAAAGGTGCAGGAGATCTACTTCTAACATAGGTACTCTTGCTGCCTCGACTAATCAGATATCTCTCTTAGTAGATGCACAAGCGAAATAGGGACTGGAGCAAGTTGGCTTGATAGGAATCGGTTAGGGAGAAGTGAGCCAGTCAGAAATTAATACCGATCAAAGTAGAAAAAGTGAACATGACAAATGAGCTGTCTTTAGCTAAGCGTCATTAGACCTCTTTGTACTCTTAATTACCCACCACTTCATGAAAGAAATATTGCATAGATTTCAACTCCACGGGCTTAAGATCGAGGTAACAAGGGAATCAGCTTTTCTCGGCCATGTTTGATACTTTTACCGTTCATTCTCTCTCTTTTGCTGCCGCGTTATCTCGAGATGCATATATATACCCTACCATCTATTAGAGAAATATAGTATTATCTATTATGGTTCTTTGATAGTTTTTTAAACATATATGCGAAATCATTCATCTTTCAGCTATTTATACCTGCTCTAAGCTCAATCTTGAAGGTAGATTTATAGCGTTGCGATTTCAACTACGAACCTATACGCGCTGCCCAATAAGAGTCATACATAGCCACAACCTAGTCTCTAGCTTGCTATACGAAAAACAGTCACAATTCATTGCTATATAAACGTAGCATGACTGTTATCTCTTCCATTATTTATTAAACTCATTTTATTATACCTGAGAGCTTTAAGATTATACCATTGAAACTATCTAAAATCCAAAGTCCGCGCTAAGCAATATGTCTCTCCTTACTCCACCAGCTCCATTTATATACATAACGCTCGCATATAACAGCATACAATCCCTCAAGTATTATCAGTGACTAGATTGAGCTTTCGCACGCAGCTTTGGGCCGTATGCCCAGATCAGCAATGGGGCAGGTATCCCAATCGCAAGGCCAACAAAAGCCAACGTGCTATTCCCCCAACCATACCCCAACACCTCATACATCTTCGGTGCAAACAGAGGGAATCCAAAAGCTGCCAGACTGCGTAGAAACTGAGTGGCCGCTGATGCAGAGCTCGTGTAGCCTGGGTAGGAGTCAATGACATAGGCCTGCAATGCCGTATCGCCGATTTGCATTCCAAAAGCCAATATGGCAACCCCGATGTCCACAACGACCCATTGCACGAGCTTGTCAGCGGCCCAGCCATACATGAATAGCCCGAGAGGTCCAAGAATATATGCAGGTATCATGATTGGAACGCGAAACTCGGGGAGAGCCACACCGTCGGTTCGCCTCTTCAATCTGCGGAAACTGTAGTCGATAAGTGGACCACCAATGACACAGCCAATGATTTCGCCGAGGCAAATGGCTATATAGTGAAGACCACTAATTGATATGGATTCGTGATACTGGTTGGTCCAAAGATCGGAGAAAGTCGATAACACAAGATAGAGGATCCCATAACTAAATCCTGACATGAGTGCTTGGACTTGCACAATAGGATGGAACATGAGCATTCGGATCGGTCGTGTAAGGCTGTTCCGGATGATCCCGGACATTGATCGTCCCACGTCAAGTCTTTCTACCTCCGTATAGTAGCTTTCGTTACCAGTAGTTTTCCGGAAATGTTTCGCCCTTTTCTTGAGAATGGTTGGTGCGTGAGTTTCCTTGAAGACTAGCAAAGACATGACAACCATAGCAGCTTGAATAATAGACGTCGACCAGAAAATCCAACGCCAGGTCGTTGTTTGGATTATGAAAGCTCCAATGATGGGTCCACATGCTGAACCAAGTATCGGGATCATGATATACATCCCCAAGGATGTACCACGCTGCTCTGGCGGCCATACATCTCCCAAAACACCACCTGCGAGAGCATAGATAGCGCTAGCTCCGAAGCCCGCAAGAAATCGAGCAGAAATAAGCAGCCCTTTGCTGTTAGCGAATCCGCAGACGATGTTCCAACCGAGGAACCAGATGTTCGTTGCGTGTAGCATGGGCTTGCGTCCATAGACCTCGGAGAGTGGGCCTATCAATAGCGGGCCGAAGGCTGTTGCGAGGAGGTAGACAGACATGGCCATGACTGATTCAATGTTGCTCATGTGTAGCTCACTGCCAATGGTTGAAAGTGCAGGAGCCATGATGGTTGAAACCATGATTCGGTTGAAGCCAGTTGCGGACAGAACACTTGTTACTGCCCATTTCCTGGTTGCTGGCCAGTTTTGGGGATTTTCGAGGTCAATGGGTGCAGCGAACTTGACTAAGAAGGGATCTTCCGATACAACTGGAGAGGTTTGCTTCTCGTCGTTCTCTGCGGGTTGCTTGTCCTTGTCAGAATGCTGCTTCTCGATGTCGACCGGCTGCTCCATCTTAGATGAGGGTTGGTTTCAAAGGAGGAAAGAAATAGACAAGCGCAATATTGTTTGGTGTAAATGAGGTTGAACAAGAGTAAACTTGAGCGAATACTCTGGGAGGAAAGTTGCTAAGAAGAAGCTGACCTTGGCAAGGTTATATAGGTCGACTTCCTCCGTTCTCGGGAGCATTTGCAAGAATATCAACTACCAGCATTTCAATCAACCAGGAACGTCTTTTGTGACTCATATGGTGCGCGAATAAGGAAGGTAGGATGACAATGAACTGATGAGGCGGCGCTAGACTCCTAGATATAGTTAGACGTGTAGGTGCAGGCGGCGTTGCGAGATGATCTGATAAGATTATGGGCAAACGATTGGTGGAAGATGATCTGATAAGATTATAGTGGAAGGATCCGACGGAAGTTTCCACCCGGCTGCCTAAAGTCTTACTCCGTATACTGTATGGCGTTCGTCTTGTCAGGCTGAAGCGAACTCCGTACTTGTACGTGAGGAGCCCTAAGCGAGCTACAGTAACAAGGACGGACGGAAGAAGATACTGTAGAGCCATGAACAACTTTGCTACAAGTGGAACCGATAGAAGGGAAGAGCTCTAACACCTTTTCTATATCTATATGATTGCAGCATGTCAGACGGGATTTGTGAGACTTTAACCGTGCTCCTTATATAACTTTCAGGCTCTCTTTAGTTAGATGGAGGCTGCTTGTATAATTTCACATTCCTTCATGTTTTACGTACTTCTAAGACTGACTAAACAAGGCGTTATGCTTCTCCAGGTAGTTATTCCGCGTCGCTAAGCTATGGGGTTTGCCTTGTGCATATGCGGGAAGTCTTGATTCAGCTTTAGCAAGTTCTTTAAGACTCTTTCTAGCCGTGGTTTAGAGCAGCTATTTTTTAGCATCTTTCGGACTCGGGATTATTATACTTTATCTCTAATAGAACCCGTCTAGAGATACACCTGGTTAGAATGAACTATCCAGATTATGGGACGAACTGAATTAGGTGCTCTTTCAAACAAGTAAAGCCTGTAGGAACTTACTAGAATAAACTATTATATTACAATGCTTTCCGTGTCCTCTTCGCCTTTTGAAGCTACATCCGAATCTCCAAGCTGCTTATTTATATTCTCCAATAACCGAACGCCAAGATGCTAGCAGCTAGTCATAGAACTCAACTAGTCCAGATCCCAAAGTTCCCAAACGTCCATCTACCCATCATGCACTCCCCCCCCCCCTACCCTCCCCTCATCCCATAAAAGACCCATCTCATCCCCCAAACACCACTCCCCACAACGCCCTACAATCAATATACCAATCTAAACAATGTCGCCCACACTAACCTATGCTGCCTCAAGAATTCTTCCCTCTAATTGCAATACCTAGCTCTTAATCCTAGCTTCCCTGGCTTTGCAAACAAGATGTAAGCAATAGTTACTGCGTAGATATTTCATCGGGAGGATCGAGTGGTATGATTGCTTGACAGCGGAATTTTCTAGATGTGAAATAGAGGCGATTGGTTCATTGATATCAATGTTGTGTGTGATGAGGCGACGAGCGATGAGCGATGAACAGGGAGAGACTGTGTAGCGGAGAGAGAGGGGAAGACGAAGCTTGTCAATGCGCGCTGAGGCAGGAGCACGTGTTGTAGGATGCGCTGGCGTCGGCGCACCTTGAGGAAGGAGAGACGAAAGGCGTTAATATCATGCAGTGGCAGTTGGACACTTCTTCTCTGTCTGTCGAGGAAGCAGTACACAAGGCTTTTGAACTGTTCTGTTTCAATGACCTTGCAGAACTTATGTTCTGTTTTCAATTCTCTTTGTTTTGCAGTTATGCTATGCTAAATATACCATAACACAGCCAGGTTTCTGTTTCTCTCTCGCTGAATTCCAATTCCAACTCTTATAAGCTCTAATCCAACACTAAAACACTCATATGAAAAGGGGTATCAAACACGCACACGAACTACTCATCCGACCTCCCCAACATTGAATACACTAGCGTCAAGCGTCAAGCGTCAAGCTTCAAGCCAAACTCCAAACATCAAACCTCAAACCAATACTCCTCATCAACGCCCTCTCGTCCAGGAACCACTCCTCCACCATCCCGATTTCCCCTACCATCCTCCCTAACATTCAATAAGCGGATCTTCAACCCATACTCTCCGATCAACGCAACAAGTTTATTCGTCTCCGCCGTAATAGGCGCTTGATTAAGCAGCATGAGCAAGCCATCGAGCCATTCACTCGCACTACTATGAGATATCGGCATCAATGTAAGTATCGCTCTTTCCTTATCACCTGCGCCGGAACTAGAATCCGAGGTGATGAATGAGTTTATGGTGATTTTCGTCGTTGTCGAGTTTTGTTTTGTGACTGTTGAGGATGATGTAACAGAAGATGATGATTCGTTGGAAGCAGAGACATTTGATACTACCGAAGAGATGGTGCTGAGGTCGATTTTCTCGTGGAGTTCGTCAAGTAGTGGATCTTGTTTACTCTGCGTCATGAAATCCGCGTAATGGAGAAAGCGCCTATTGTGCGATAGTTTGACGAATCTCCAACTTGACCGCCCATCCCTGGAAGAATTTGAACGCGGGAACCAAGCCCCTTGAAGTAGTGAGCGAATTCGTTGTTCTTTGACAAATTGCAGGGCCTCGCGTTTGAGTTCGTCGCGGACTTGATGGAGATGCTGACCCCATTCATCCTCAAATGTCAACTCCAATATCTCCATTTGCAATTCTCTCAGGCGCGCGTATTCGAAATCAGTGAGTTCTTCTTCCACTTCCTGAACGTCAACGGTCCGCGATGCTTGGCCAACAACTTGCTCAATCAGAATACGGACCAGCTCAGCCACTTTATCGAAATCAGCTTGTTCAGCCCCCGTCGACTTCCATAACCTAAAGAATGCCTGCAAAGAAGCTGTATGTAGTCTTGACCATTGTAACAGTAAAGGGCGGAAGATTTTATCGTAGTTTTTCATCCCGTCCAAAACCAAATAGCTCCTCGCATCATTGACATCGCTTTTATCGACCTCGAAATGCTCGTACAGAATAACAGTGACTGCTAAACTGGCTCTTGCAATCGGACACCGTTCATGCATTGGCTTCGAACTCTGCTCCAGTAATAGCTTCTGAAATCCATCTTCATGCTTCCGCACGTAATCCGTGAGGTCCATCATACCCAAGAAGCCCGTTTGGTCGAACTCCCACGCCGGACTCTCAGTCTCAAAGCCCAATCTCCGCCATTTCTCCGGATTATGCCTTCGACTTCCCTTCGTCTTATCATTTGCAGTAGCCAGCGCCTCCGCCCTCTGAACCCCACTCTCCTTCCGCTCCGGTGCACTCGCCAAATGTAATCCTTTCAGCGCCCGTCTATGTTCCGGTTTCTCCAGATCAACCTTGACATCTCTCCACTTTCTCAGTAGCACTTTCGTCAATGCCTGGAAGTCAAGCAGAGGATGCGCCAGATCCTGCAGCGCCGAACTCTGCATCAGTACATATACCGCTTTGATGACGCCCAAATCCTGTAACCGCTTAATGAACTTTGGCCACTCTTCCCCCGGACCGCCTTTAATCGAATCCCGCATCAGCGCATTAAGAAGCATCAGCGCGTTTGCGCACAGCGCATGATCCGCACTATTCAACTGGCTAACCACCATCTCAAAAAACTGTGGATACACCGCGACAGCCGGTTTCAACGCCCTGAATCCAAACGCACCTGGCTCAGCTTTGTTCTGCGGATGTGACACAATGGCAACGAGGATACTCATGGCGCCGCGCAGGATATTGACCAGCGGATGCGTAACAATGAGCTCCACGACCCGTTCCACCAACTCCCCGCTGCCAGAGGTCTCGAAGATCTCCCAGCCCATATCGACTTCCAGTAAGCGTGTGAGCGATTGCAGGGAATAGGCGAGGGTGTTGCCGCCGGTATTCATGATGAGACGGCGCAGGATGGTTAGGCCATTGGAGGCGATGAAGAGGTCGGCGAAGGAGGGGTCGTTGATGCTGCTCTGCAGTTTGAAGACGGCCATTTTGCGCAGGGCGTCTTCATCGCTACTGAGGCGCGAGAGGAGGGAGGGGATGTCGGCTGCGTCCATGGTGAAGGTGTCAAATTGTGCATGTACTTGTACATACAATTGGCAGGCGTCAGCTGGTGGTTGAGGACATGGGGAGGAAGTTGAGAACTTGGAGGGTTCGCGGGAGACTCGAAGGGAAGTTGTACGAGGAGGATGAGAGGAGCGAGGCTTGTGGAGGATCTGGCTGCGTGTGTACTGAAGCGTCCTGGAGGTTTCGAGGGAAGTCGCGTTGGTGGTCTGTGCGCTAACAGCGGCCGCGCGATTCAGGGGTAGGGGAGATGAAATCTGAGAGCTAGAGCTGACTCTTTACCCAGTGAGGTACGAGAAGAACCACATTGTTGTTGCTGTGTGAAGTCTTGATATTAGTGAGGAAGAAGAATAAAGTAAAAGTTGCAAGTTTTGAAGGCGGTGCAGACGAGCAATTGTTCCATCCACAATTCAGTGTATTGCCATGTACTAATAGACTAAATATGTCAAAATAATCATATTATTACTCCTCTATCCCATGTAGTAAACGCTGTGGATCTTTCTAATCCATTATACCGCCATGTAGCCTTCTATCTATCTCATCTCCAGTGGACCTCCACTGCAAAACTCCCGCTAAGGTCAAAATCTATCTGTCTATATACGAGTATCTCTCACTCATATTTACGCGTGCTTGCTGCTCTCCTCCGTCATCGCCCTTTTCGGTGCACTTATCGGTACATCTCCTCTCTCCAGCGCACCATCAGTCGCAATGGCCTGCGGACTTACAATTCCAGTCCTAGGATCTATAGGTGTACTTCCCACCGACTCGAAGGTATCGCCCCTGTTTCTACCCCTCGAGTCATCTCCATGCATCAACTGCTCAGTTTCCAGACCCCAGTTGACAGTTTTGGAACCAGAGGCTTCAGGAATGTCCGGCATATCGGCAGCTCTGATATTCCGGTGGCCGGCTTCGAGGTCATCGAGACTGGTCCCTTCTTCCGAGGTGCCAAGCTTGCTTCGGCCACGATTGAAGAAACGATTGCGGCGGCCGCCGCTGGTGCCGCTCTGTGCTCTACTCATCTCACTGTCACGACTGGTGGTTTTAGTCAGAGCAGAACCATCTTCACTAATCCTTGTGTCCCTCGAAGTTCTACTTGGTCCTGGCGATGGTGTGGTGGTGGTAATCTTCGGAGTTGGAAGACGTGGCTTTGGATCATCAAACACATCACCAAAGTCGGCACCTGAAGAGATGGCGGACATGCCGAGAGAGAAATCAACACGCTTGCCCATTGCCGAGATTGATTCTCCTCGGTGGCGACTGTTACTGGTACCAGCCCTGTTACGAAGGATAGATGGATGGTTGTTGAGTGGTTGGCCAGAAATGCTCGTTTGGCGTTCGACAAAGGCGGGATCTCGTTCGCGTGCCAAGGAACCTGAACGGGGTCCTGGTCCTCCTGGATTTTGATTCTCGTTGGTAGCCGTAGGCTCGGGATATGCTCCCTGCAGATGCATTGGGAAGTTGGGTTGAGCACCAGCGAGACGCATACGTGGACCCTCCATACCAATCTCATCCATAGTGACCATCAAAGCACAGATAAACTTGTTGCGGCGTTGCATACGCAGGACCTCGTTTTGCCAGTTGGATTTGTAGAAGAAAACAACGTTCATAGTGATAGAATGAGCTTCGTAAATGGTAGTCAACTCGGTGAGAATGTTCTTTTGGTACTCGCGGTTCTCGGACGTGACGAACTCAAGTAGCCGCTTATGAAGCGTCTCGAGTTGTTCCAAAGTGGTGCCAAACTTAATAGTGACAGGAACAGCTTCAGCAAGTCCTCCGGATCGGCGTTGGTTGAGGATGAAAAGTGTGTTCAGGTAACTGTTTGGCGCCTGCACAACGTGACCTTCCATCTTCTTGAATTCGGTGTACAGGAGGCCAATTTCTTTGACAAAGTAATCGTCGCCTTTCAGCGCAGACCCAGTATTTCCGTAAATCGTGACTCGGTCTCCCACATCGAAAGGATGCTTGACGAAAACGAAGATGCAAGACTGCAGAAACTCTTGTGCGGTGGCAGAAAATAACCATGACAGAGCGAGCAGAGACGAGCCAAGCGACGTCAGTACACCCGACGCAGATGTCGAGATGAGAGATACGAAAACAATGATTGTGACTACAAACACGGCGAACAGGAATACGTCGTCAAGCTTTGAGACGACCGAGTCGAGATCTTTCAGAGAAGCAGTTATGGCTTTACGTTCGCGGCCAATTTCAACACAGACGGCCTCAAGTTCCTCCATGGAAATATCCCCATTAAGATCCTTATCAAACATGGTAAATGCTGCATCGGCCTCGTCATCATTGTCGAATGCGGATCTCAGGTCGTCACTAAAAATGGTTTCGGAGTCTTCGTGGACGAAAGTACGATAGAGTCGACGGGCCAAGACCTGGGAGCCAGTCGTGTTACCCAGAAGCTGGATTATTCTAAGAGCGTTAGTCGTGATTGATAATAGAAAGGACGTTCTTACACTTGACTTGGGTGAGTACTGCCTTTGACTTGTTTTCCGGTAAAGTCCCCGGCAACTCTTCCAGCGACATCGCCAACTTTGTTGAAAACATGACGTGTTTTCTTCTGCGCCGCGCTCATATATGCCATGGGTGTTCTAGTTCCAGACGATGGGCCGGTATCGTTCTTGACCTCGAACTCTTCATCATCCATGGCGATTTTATCTTTCGAGTAAGTATAAAGCTTGGTTAAGCTAGATATTTGAAACTTGTTAATATCAATTCTGTCGGCATATGTCCTGAGATGGAAGCTGATGGCAATGAGCTGGATGATGATCTTTTCTACGAAATTCAGGACTGATCCGACGAATATGGAAATAATGATCTTGTTAACAGTCTTCTCCCAACCTTTCGTAGCTTTATTGCCGTCTATGTGATGATTTTTCATAGTAGGTAGGAAAGAAATTTCGACGGCAAGCCACCAGAAAAATATGGTGGCTGGAACTTCGAGTTGCTTTCCAAGATCCCTCCACTTCTTGCTGTTGTTGGTAAAAATACTGGAGACGAGACCCATTGGGTAGGGAATACATTTGGCGATAATCTAATGGTATGTCAGTACGCAAATGACAGATCACAAAGGAAGGAGGATGTACTCTTCCCGCCCATAGTGTCAACCAAACGATTTCCAGCCAGATTCCAAACCAAAAGAGCTTAACCCCACCAATAGCAGATTGTTTGAACACCAGAAGTCCGAGGAGCATTGGAATGAGTAGGATGATGGTGACTGGTGAAATGTAAAAGAAGTACCGAACCAGCCAACTGGAATTATGGATCTTCTTGAATAATTTGGAGAACTTGGTGGTGGGGTTTGCTGGCGGTTGATAGACCCTTGTCTTCTCGTGTATGGGTGTAGTTCCAACATCGAAATCGTCAATGGGCTCTGCAACTGTACGTGATCTGGAACGGTGTATCGATTTCGATCGGGCTAAGCTCTCTTCATTTGTAGTATTCGATGCCACCCGCTCGGCGCGGAGCACTTCAAGATCATCTTGTAGCCGCCGGGATGCTGCCCTCTGCTGGGATACGGACATTGAAGGAGACAGACCCCGTGCCTCTCTGCCAATGTGATCCGGCCCATTGAGATAGCTTGTAGTCGTACGCAGGTGGTTGTGGTCCATATCGCTCATATCTATATCGTGATAAAGGAGGGGATCGTCGACCTCTTCAGCTTCGTCGTTCCGCAGAGTGCGATCTTCGTCTGAGGAGCGTTGGTATGCATTCTCTCCATCGTAGTTGGGAGCGAATGCCGGGAAGGAGGATTGCCCCCTTTCATTTACAGGACTCGACATTGCGTAGGAGATAAGGAAGAGAGGAAGATGTTGTGGTTCGAGGTATTTCGTGTATTAATGGCGTGGGTGGGGGAACAAAGAAATTGGCCGCCCAGCAGTCCTTTGATGATGGTAAAGACGGGGTTTTTCCAGAGACCGAATTGATATAGGAAGTATCAGGATGTGTTGTGTGGGTTTGCTCTGGCATACAACAGAGATCAACAGCTGGCTGGTCCCAGGTCCTATTGCAGGTGAAGCTTGTATGGGGGGGGGTGATTGAGGAGGGAAAGCGAGTGTGGTGTCGTTTGTTACAGAGATGTATGAAAGAAAGGGCAGAAGGACGAAAGGAAGGTTGGCAATGGAGGTGGAGGTGGAGGTGGAGGTGGAGGTGAAGGTGGAGATATGGATGGATGGAGTCAAGATGCACAAGATCTCAACCCGAAATAAAACATTATGCATCGAATCGGTCGATGTTTTCTGGATCTACTCCAATCTACTTTTTCAAGGTACCCGCTTTGACTCCTGGATGGCGCCGGGGTATTCGTGGACTGGACAGGCTCGACTGGACCGGACTTCCCTGCGCACGTCACTCGCAGGGTCCATATCTACTACGGTACCAGCAGAAATACTTGACGCTTTTCCCATTGGCTACAGAAAGAGCTGATGAACTGAATGCGGAAGATTTATGGGTTTTTTATGGGTTTTTTATGGGTTTTTATGGAGAGTTACGCGGATTGGCTGTGGATATGCCAAGACCTTAAATCGACGCCGCGTTTCCAACTGGTGCGTCATCACGAGGAAAACATTTTCTACTTTGGCGCCGAGGGAGCGATTTATACGGTACAGTATCGACGGTGAACTAGACTAAATCAGTACTGTACGGTATACCTCGGACGGACCGAAGCAAGTGTCCGATGTGAAGCCATCGTAAGGTAAAGATACAGATGTGATAAGGTATCGATGTATTTCACCGATCATTGCATTATTGCATAGAATCCCTCTTCCTCCTATCCCTCCCTTCCCCTGAATCCTATCTATCCTTAGAGATAAGGCTGGCCTCAATGCTCTCCCCCAAGCGAGAGACCCCCCAACACCTTTCCTTGTTTCAGCAATGCGTGGGGGATCCTCATTGATGGGTGAGTGGGGTTCGATACGAAGTCTTTATAGTATTGGGTCCACCAGGCCAGGTCCAGTTCTGCTGCGCCTTCGCCTTCCCCTTTATGAGAGAGAGTCCAGTCGGGTCTTTCGAGTCAGGAGTCAGACTTTTCCTTTCCACCAGAACCCCCTTTTAAGAGTTTTGTTGATGCTGAGTCACATGAAATCTATTCAGAATAGTATCAACAATTATACTTGTCTGGAAAGAGTGACATTTATGGCCATTTATGCCTGAAGCTATTGAGTCTACACGTCTTTATTGCAAATCGCTAATTCCAGTGAACGAAATGGACTGGGCTGGATGCTGACAGCCTGACAGCAGAAGTTCATCCGAGCGTCATATCCTTTTTTAGCAGTTTTCCTCTTTTTGTTGCACATCGCACTTTCTGACTGTCTGACTGTCTTACTACTCTTGTTTCCCTGTGCTTTAGTGAGATTCATCTTGAAATTTCCAACCTTTGTTGCACGTCGCAGGCCCAGCCCACCGGTAGTGGAAGGCATTCTAGCTAGCTGGCTTGAACTACCCTCCACCTCACACACTATATACAACTAAGACTTATTGCGCGCGTGTAGAGCCAAGCAACATTTTATATTTCATGATCAATGCCATGTCATGCGCTCTAGAGGAGAAGATCCCTTGTCCTCATGGCTCTCCGCATGCCTGGGCGGGCTAGTTAGGTCCCTGACAAAAGCATTCTCAAGGCTAGTCGGACGATCCCAAACACCATTCTATAAACCGTTGTACCGCTTCGACAGATTCTTCATCCATCCTCTAAACAACCAGAGGTTGATACTCCTTCTGCTGGCCTCCATGTCTAAGCATACTAATCTGGTTCTAGGAACAACCGATAAAAGTCAGAGCTCCGGTCTGATTTAAAAAGTAGACAAGACAGACCAGTTATTGCCAAGCAGTATTGATTGCATATCAATAAACCACGTTCGGCTTCAGTATACAAAATACCACCCAAAATGAACAATCCATCAAGTTATAAAAATCCAAAGCTTATAGAAAGTCACTTCTAGTCAAAAATCCAAGTTGGAGGTACTACAGAACTGAATATATATACATAAACCTTGACCTAGCAACGGTTTCCCCACCAAAAAGATATTGCGAGTCCTGTCTACAGACGGCAAGATAACACTCCATAAAGACCAAGTCCTCAGAGTTAAACATTAACATAAAAACCGGAGCCCTCAAGGATTTCCAAGTCGGAAAATCAACGCCAAGAATCGAAATACTTCTTTCTCCCTCCCTCACAAACACTGCGAGTAATACGCATTCGACCACTTGCAAGTAAAGCCAGCAGCGCACTCAGTCGACCCCGTATACCCATCCCCACCACACTTCCCATACTGAGGCACCGTCTCCCCCGACGAAGCCACAGCGCTCGTTGCAGCCGCAGTTGTAGAAGCCGCGACAATGGACGACGAAGACGAAGACGAAGACGAAGACACAGCCACGACCTGCGCGACAGGCGAAGTCGCCGCCACAGCTGCTGCACCAGACGTCCACGTTGAGACGGAAGAAGCTCCCGTAGGCGTCTCGTCAATAGCGTCGCTCTCTCTCACACACCCCGACTTAGCCGTCAGTGCAGCCGGGCACGCCACCTGCTCAAACGTGACCCCTGGGTTGTCCGAATTGCCAAACCAGTCAAAGCGCCAGTAACACGCCGCCTTCAGCTTATCGGGAAAGGCGTCACAGTCAGCTCGCGCTGAGATGCCGCCGTACTGCTGTCCCCATCCCGTGGAGGGGGTTCCCCATTCGGCGGTGCAGCCGTTGAAGAGGCCGAAGCCGCCACCGGGTATCTAGGTAGTAACGCTGGTCAGTTTCCAAAGATATCACATAGGTATGTATGTATATCTTGTGTAACTTACAGCGAGATCAAACTGGTTGGCCCCCAAATCCCCCCCCGTATTCGTAGCCTGCACGATCATTTTCTTCCCCTGCACCGCGCCCGACGTAAACGTCAACTCGTAGCACGCACAACACCACGACGCCTCGGACCCGCCCGAGATCGTCGTCGCTGCGAAGCCGTAGCTCAGCGTGTCGGAGACGGCCCAGGGCGATTGGTCGGAGCACATGTAGCTCGTGCCAGAGTTGCACCCGGATGCTGCGTCGTAGTTCGTGAGCGGGTTGTCCTGCGCGTCGCACGATGTCACGGGGTTGGAGCCGCTGGCTAGAGTTGCCTTGCCTGACCAGCCACAGGAAGCTTTACAGCAGTCTGTTGGTTGGGAGAGAGAGGGAGTTAGTTTTGTGTGGTTGAAAAATGGGGTGTTTGGTTCAATGTCTTGGAACTCTCCCTTCAGACTTGGAGAACAGGAAATGCAATGCTGGGAGAAGTAAATACATACCCCAATATCTGGTCGTCGTTCCAGTACCCGAGGATTGAGAGTTGACTTTGATGAAAAAGGGCAGGAGAGCCAGGAGTGTTGTTCTCGGGAGCATCATTTTGGAATGAAAAAGGGGATTCTAGAACAAACAAGATAAATATAACAATTCAATTGGAACTTTCTTTAAAGAGAGAGACGACGACGTTGGAATGAAGATAAATATAAAAATAAAGTAACATATACATGGGAATCCCTCACTATTTAACTTCCTCTTCTTCTTCTTCTTCTTCTTCTTCTTCTTCTCCTTCACCGCAGGCACTCCGCACGCAGTGGATCCTCCAGTCCTACCATTAATTACTACATGAGAACGAGACCAGAAGCAGCTACAGTACGAGACGGTCCAGTTTCTCCGTGGTCCAAAAATCTAAACCTCAAATTAAAGTTTTTTGAATTCCCCAGGTCCACAATCGTGGGCTAAGTACCTAAGCACTTGACCCAATCCAGTAATTTCAGGTACAGCTAATCCGGCCCGTTATCGAATATCACGATATCCAGGTCCGTAAACCCTTAACTTGAAACGGCCCAGGCTAGCCGGCTGGGTAGGTGGGAACTACGTGCACGTAGTGCGTTATTACGGCCGTCAATTATGTGAAATGTTCGTCCGCTCTTTATTATCTAGAGGGAATCAGAGGCTCGGAGATGGATGATTAGATTAGTAGAAATATAAGGAAGCGAGGGTATACTGTAAAGGTTAAAGCGACTAGCAGCCGCTTTTTACAGATATAATTTAAATGCATAGAAATTCCTAAAGGAGTGGAGAGAGGAGTGCGGCGAGACGTTTAAGAATATACTGCTTATCAGATTTTTATTCTAATCCCTAAAGTTCTGTGCAGGATTCCCTTTCCTTTCCATCTCGCCCGCATCTAGAAGTTTTTACGACGGCGGCTCTTGGCCATGCTACTGTATGCCGCCCACCTCATTGCTTCATTTCCAAAGAACCTTCGATTGTTTCAGAAAAAATCCGAGCTCAGAAAATTACCGGCCCGGCAGACTCGGCATAGAATAGACAGCTGATGTATGGTAGCGAGAAATATAAAGGACTGGCCAAGACCCCCTCGACCCCGTCCATCCCGTCAGTTCTAGATTTGGGCCTCAGCCGCTAACTCGCCACCATTTCATCGCATGTCAATTCTTGAGGAGTCTGGACCAAAAGTGCGAAATGCAACAGAAAAGATGGTACTTGTGCTTGGCTTGAGGTGTGAAGTCTTCATCTACCAATTTTCAACTCATTCTTGCAGCCAGTCTATGATCCAGCTTCTATGTCTTCGATCTGCGTCTTTCTCTGGCTCACAGAATCATCTTTCGTTATATAGGAGCTATGTTTAAGACCTACAACCTTTTTCCGGCCTGCACTATCATTGTAATGCAGCTGATATTGCCAGTCCACCAAAACAAAGTACGCAACCAGCTTTTCTCCTCACTCTCGATGGCGATATAAGAAATTCCGAAACCAATCCGCGCTAGAGAGTAAATGGCCATAAGACCATTGAGGGTCTGCGTGGGAACGCCTGCGTGGAGTCCGAGAAGCTGTTAGAGAGAGGCCAAGTTAGCGTTTTTTTCCAATTCGTTAGCTGTATGGTATATATCTATGTATATATA